GCTCTCCTGTCCCCCCGCTTGCCCCGCTCCTGTCCCCGCTCCACCTGTTGCCGCTGTCCCGCTCCTTGTCCCGCTCCTGTCCCCGCCGCATCCCGCGGGGAGCGCCCCTGGGGGCTCAGGCTCGGGAGAAGCCGCCGGCATTAATTAGCGCGGCTCAGGATCGGGATGAGCCCGCCGGGTAATCCCGCCGGGGCAGGCAGAGCCCGGCTGCCCGCACCGCCATCCCGGAGCTCCGGGGCTGCTCTTTTTAGCTTCTAAGCCGGAAATTGGACAATCTCACGGGGCTCGGGGAGGAGGGAAGCGGAGCCGGCGGAGCGCTGGGGCTGCTGCGGGGTTTGGGGTCCCGAAAAGGATCCCTGGGCTTCCCGAGTGGGGAGGTGTGTGACGATGTCCCATGCCCGTGCCTCGCAGCTCCACTTTGAAACCAGGAGGAAAGCCCATCCTGGAACACAACTCACTGCCAGGCAGAGGGGTTGAGCCCTGCAGCCCATCCCTGACCCACCGGTGTCCCCAGCCACTGCGTGTAGGGTCGCATGGGTGGTTTGGGTACATGGATCCCTGTACGGGGGCAGTTTGGGGTTTGGGGTGGTCCTTGCGTGCAGGAAAGGAGATGAAAGTCATGGAGCACCCCGAGCACTTTTCCTTCCTTCCTGGCCTTGGCCTTGGCTCAGCCCTTCCGCCTTCCTGGCCTGGCTGCTTGGCTCTGTCCTGCAGCCTGCACGGGCTCCTGGGGGCTGCCACTCCAACCCGCTCCCTGCAGGTCCCCCCTCTGCCCGGCGCTGCCCGCTGAGCCCCCCAGAGCCCCGACAAGCGATGGAGGGAGAGCCCACCCTGCGCCTCCGGATCTTCGACCTCAACTGCTGGTGAGTCCAGACTTTGCCAGGTCCGTGCCAGGCAGTGTGGGTGGAGATGGGGGCACCACACTGGGGGGGGTCCCACCTTGGGGTTACCTTCATGGCCCCTTCATTCTGGGGTCACACCACTCTCCCTGCCCCAGCGGGTCATGAGGTGCTTGGCTGGGTAGTGCCTCCTGTCTCTTCCGTGCTTGTTAGCCCCAGAAAAAAACCCCATTTGCACCCCAAGCAAGGATGAGTTGTCTCAGTTCTGCAGGCAGGAGAAGCTGTCCCCAAACAGCCTCCCTGCATCTTGTCCCTATGTCCTCGCATGGCCCTTTCCTGTTCCCGTCTTTCCCACCTGCATCCTGCTTCTGCTGGTACTGGAGCCCTCTTTCTCTCCCTCGTTTTGGGTCACAGTGGGCCCCAACAGCCCCATGACCCTGTCCCCACCAGGCTGTGACTGTCACCCTGTCTGCAGGGCCATCCGCTACCTGAGCAAGCGGCGGCAGGAGCGCGTCCGGCTCATCGGGGACACGCTGCGCCAGGAGGGCTTTGACCTGGTGCTGCTCCAGGAGGTGAGGGCAGTTTGTGAGCCAAGTGCACCCATTCCCAGCCCGGGAGATGGGCACGACTGTTCTCAGCCTATCCCTCTGTCCTCCAGGTGTGGAGCGAGCAGGACTACAGTGACCTGAAGGTGAAGCTGGCAGGCTGTTATCCCTTCTCCCATTACTTCCGCAGGTGAGAAGGGCAAGGTCAGCCCCCGGGGCTGTCTGTGGGGCAGTGCCAGTGCCACCTCTGTTGCTGTGGGAGATCCCATGCCTGGGCAGCAGGATGCTCTCAGGAGCACACTGGGATCCAGGCACCTGGGGAGTCCTCCTGGGCCAGGGCTAGGGCGAGGCAGAGGTTTTGGGATCCTCGTCTCCTCACTCTGCTTCTTCCCTCCCACAGTGGGGTGATCGGCAGCGGCCTCTGCGTCTTCTCCAGGTTCCCCATTCTGGACACACTCCTCTACCAGTACTCACTGAACGGGTACCCCTACATGGTAAGTGGGGTGGGGGACACGTGGCACCATGGTGTCCATCCCCACAGAGCCTCAGAAGCTCTGACCTGCCCTTCCTCCCCTTGGGCAGCTCCAGCACGGGGACTGGTTCTGCGGCAAGTCCGTTGGTCTCGTCATTATGAAGATCTCAGGGATCATCTTCAACATCTACGTCACCCACGTGAGCAACCCAGGGAAGAGCCCAGCCAGCATGGGGGGAACAGTGGGGAGGAGGGCAATGAGTGACCATATTCCTCCTTTACTGTCCCCTTGCTTTAACCACTGCTCTCCACCCTCTGCCCTGGACTATTCACTGATTTAATAAATTATTACTCAGGGCAGCAGGGTATGCACTGGGGTGAGCATCCCAGGCTCTTCCCCGTTGGGGTGACATAAAGACAGTGTTGGCAGGGACTGTTTGGAGGGGTTGGGTGGGTTTGCAGGGAGCCTGGGAGCAGGGCAGGAGTCACAGCCCCTTTGCTTTCCCTCTCTTTCCAGCTGCACGCCGAGTACTGCCGGGACAAGGACGCCTACCTGCCCCACCGCCTGGTGCAGGCCTGGGAGCTGGCACAGTTCATCCGGTGAGCAGCTGCGGGGTGTCCCCCTGCATGTCCCCAGGACGTGTGTGGTCACCCCTGCCCCTGGGGCTTGCCCCAGAGAGCTCCCGTTTGCACCAGTCCCAGTCAGGAATAAGGTGGAGGAGCACTGGGCAGACAGGGCAGGGAAGGACAGCCACCCCTGTCCCCACAGCCACACCTCGAAGGCAGCAGACGTGGTGCTGCTGGGAGGGGACCTGAACATGCACCCTGAAGATGTGGGCATCCGGCTGCTGCGCGGCTGGACGGGGCTGCGGGACGCCTTTGCTGAGGCCACGCACTTTGAGGTGAGCCGAGGGGCTGCGTGGGGTCCCAGGCACACCAAGAGCCCCCAGCTCACCCAGGCTCTCCTCCCAGGGCTGTAAGAACGGCTGCACCCTTGTCCCTGACAACTGCTTCACTGACAAGTCAGAGCTGCTGCCCTTCCCGCTGGGCATCCGCATCGACTACATCCTCTACAAGGTACCGGGGAGTGTCTGCCCGCCACCTGTGACTGGGGAGGTGAGGCACAGGTGTGACCCCCTTGTCCCCTCACCCAGGCCATCTCCAGCTTCACGGTGAAGTGTGAAGAGCTGAAGACCACCGTGGGGCGAGCCCCAGGCGTGGACATCCCCTTCTCAGACCACGAAGCCGTGATGGCAACACTGCACATCCAGAGGCAGGGACAGCCTGCAGGTGCCACCCTTGGCACAGCTGGTAAGTTGGGGGGCTGCTGCCAGCACCCACTATGTGCTGAGGGGTTGGTGGATGGACTGGTGGAGGTGGATGGAGTTTTTTGGGGCTGTTTCTCCTTGCGGTGCTGCTTGTGGAGGGCTGCAGAGCAGTGGGGATGGGGAGAAGGCTGTTGGGGTGGTATGGGGGGGGTATAGGGATGGTATTTGGGGATCCCACCCTGCTGAGGGCCCCTCTCCCCACAGACCCTGCACTGGCAGATGTGGTGACAGAGGCACGGACAGAGGTGGGCGTGGGGCTGCAGGCAGCACGGCAGCAGCGCTACTCCTCGGGCAGGATGGCCGTGCTGGCCCTGCTGCTGCTGCTGCTCCAGGCCGTGGCTGCACTGGGCACACTGGCTGGACTGGGCACAGAGCAGCCCTTCCCCAAGCTCTCCTTCTGCCTGCTGGCCTTCCTCGCCCTCGGCGTCCTCGTCCTCGCCAGCGGTCTCCACCTGTTCCACACCATGGAGGTGAAGATGCTGCACGGCACCGAGGACCAGATGTGGATGGTGCTGAGGGCCCTGCAGGAGCGTCCCAGCGAAGGCTGAGCTGAGCCTCGGGGTGTCCCACAATGTCCCCTTGGTCACACCATGTCCCCTGTTTCATCCAGCATCAGTTCTTAGGCAAGCAGCACTGCAGCAATGCAGTAGTGCAGGTTTGACAGCTGCCTCTGGGTGAAATTAAGGTTTTTGGGGTAGATTTTTTGCATTGACCCCTGTGAAAATCACAACGGAGGCAGATTTTTATTGCTGTCTTTTTAAATACACTCTTTTGTACATGGAGGGACCCACTGGCCTGGCTGGAAGGCTTGAGACACTGAGGCTCCCCTTGCCTGGGGTGGCCTCAAATTTTACACTGGTGGCTGTTCTGGCAACCAGTCCTGACTGATGGAAAATAAAGGCGATATTTTAACCTTTGGCACCGGGTCAGGGGGGCTTTATTTGAAGGGAGGGGGTTTGCAGCAGGATTTTGGGGCTGGTACAAACACAGGGAGGGCTGGAGGAGGTGCTGAGGGGAATGGCAGGATGAGGGCTGAGCACAGGGTGGTGTTGCTAAGAGAGGAACCCATGCCTGGGACCCCCATCCTGACACGTGAGCACCATTTGGCCACAGAGGCAACAGCCAGGGACTCCAGGGGCATCTGAGGTCTGTGCAAAGGCCAAGCAGAAGAAATCCCAAAGGGGCAAGGAGGGCACAGCCACTGGTGTCCCTTGTCCTCGGTGTTGACAGTGCTGGCCCTGAGCACAATTCCCACAGGAGCTCCTGGACAAGAAGCCCTTCCCTGGCCCAAGGGGTTCATGGTAGGGTTCTGCCCCTGGTTTCTTGCAGCAGCTGGGGACAGCGTGGACGTGGCATCCAAAAGCAGTGGTGCAGAGCAGCTGGACCAGCCCAGTCTGTCTGTCACTGGCCCCATCTTGTACAGCCAGATGTCCCTTGCGATGGACAGTCCAGACTGGGATGGATGCCCTCAGCTGGGAAGGATGTCCCAGGCTGGCTTCAAGGGAAGGTGCCCCTGCACATATGGCATCTGCTCTGGTGGCCATCACCTCCTTGCTGCTGGGAGCCACCACAGCCTCCTTTTGCAGTCCCCTGCGAGTCTTCTTTTCCAGCAAGCACGAGGCAAAGGCAATCCAGCCACGCACAGGAATGCCCTCTCAGCACCCCAAGGCTGAGATCTTCTCGGTGTCTCCTCCTGCGGGCATCCACCAGCGGGCCTGGCCCCTCCGTGACAGGCTTTGGCAAGCGGGAAGCTGGATTTGCTGTGGCAGCTGCTGGCACCTGGGGCATCGCCACCTCCAGAGGTAGCTCAGAGTGATGCCCAGCCCAGACTCACTCACACACACTCTGCTTGTCCCCGGGGAGGACGTGGTGGCTCTGGGGCTGTGCGGGTCAAGCCCGCAGCTCGCTGAGCCTCTTCTCCTCCTGCAACTGGATGAGGACGTTCCTCTTATTCACCACCTCCACCAGCTGCTTCAGGATCTCCTGCTCAGCCTTCTCATCCTCGGGTGTCTTCAGGGCATCTGTGGGTGCAGGGGGCCACAGTAGAGCTGGGAAGGCCACAAGGCCTGACCTGCTCCCTGCACGGTGCAAAGGGATCCTCTCCCTGGCACGCGCTGGCACTCACCCTCCTTGTTCATGTAGCTCCGGAGCTTCTTGTCAAGCTGACACTGCTGCTCCTCCAGCTTCAGTTCCTGCACCCTGTGGGGAGGAAAAGGGTGTGCTGTGAGTACCCACACAGGTACAGCTTTACAGGGGACTGGGGTGAGCTGAGCCCCCACACCGACCAGGGAGCATCCCCCAAGCCTCACGCGATCATGAGGTCCGACTCCTCGGTCATCAGGTTGTTCTTCTTCTGGACCAGGTAGAGCAGCTGGTTTGTCCACTGTGTCTGCTGGTCAGCCGGGCTCTCTGCAGGACAGGGGAGTGGTCAGCAGGGTGCAGACCCCCATTGCAGAGTCACAGGGCTCTGTCCACCCTGGCATTACCGTTCTCATCCCGGAGTAACTTCTCCAGCTTGATGCCCTGCTGCTCCAGTTCCCGGAATGTCACCTCGATCTCCTCCAGCCGCCTCTGGATGGCCTGTAAGAGAAGGGCAGCACTCACCTGCAGGCCAGCACCTGCCAGCATGTGGCCACCAGCAGCAGGATGGAGGGGACAGGGTACAGTGCCACGCTGGCTCTCCCCTGTGAGGTTACCTGGGCTCTGCAGAACCTCTTCATCTGCGATTCCCTGGCCCGGCGGGCCAACGTGCGCTTCCAGGTGGGGTATTTCTCCTCTTCCCTGGGGTCTGGGTACTGTGAAAGGAGGGTGGCACGGGCAGGGGGGTCAGTCCCTGCACCAGGCACCTCCTGCCTTGGCAGCCACAGCTGAGCCAGACCTGATGCCTCTGTGAGAGGAGCAAGAGCCCCATCTGCCACCTGTGCTGGTGGTGCCACCATCACTTGGGAAAATCCTCACCATCTCTTTCATGATGCCAAGGCCTGTGTCCTCCTCCTCCTCTTTCTCCTCCTCCTCTCCCTCCCCCTCCTCGCTGTCACTCTCCTCCAAGTCTGCCCAAGAAAAGAACTGTTTCAGGCTGGTTCCTCACGAGCAAGATGTGGGATACAGCAAGGTCCTGGAGGGACTGAAAGCTCTGCTCATCTGGAGACTCCAGTTTGTACCACCTACCTTTCTCCATGTCAGTCTTCTCCTCCTCCTCCTTCCAGGCGCCTTGTCCCTGCCGCAGGGCAGGGAGGGCCTCGGGTGCTGCTTGGAGCCGCAGACGAGCTGGCTTCGGTGGAGGCTCGGGCTCTGCTTCGCTGGTGAGGTTCAGTGTGGACAGACAGAGCTTCTCCAGTGGTGTAAGGACAATCTTCCTCCTGCCCCCACTCTCCTCACCCTCCTCTGCTGTCCCCTGGGGCTCCGCTCTGGGAGCCTCCTCTTCCCTCACGTTCCCCCCAGGCTGTGCCAGCAGCTCCTGCTCCTCCATGTCACCAGTATCCGCAGTGTCCTCAGCGTCCCCAGGCTCTGCCCCTGCCTGTGGGGCTGCAGGAGTGGGCTGAAGGGGACTGGGTGCCCACGCCACGGGGGACACACCTGACCTTCCAGCATCTGGGGGTGGGTGGGCAGCAGCATCAGCATCCTGTGGCAGAGCAGAGCAGAGGGGTGATGCAGCACAGGGCCACACCCAACCACCCCCCCTAAACATTTTGCCTTTCCTCCATCACCTACAGGGATTTAGGGTGATTTACCCCATCAGGCAGTGCTGAAGCCTCATCCCGGGGCAGGTCCATGCCGGCTGGATTGGGGTAGTGCAGCGAGCAGTAAAAATTACCTGGGCATGGGGAGGGGAGGGTGAACTCCTGTGACAACCTGCAAGGTGGAGAAGTCGTGCCCCAAGCATTCCCTCTCCCCAAAAGCCGCCTCACCATCCTCCTCGTCGAAGGCGTAGTCGCCCAGGCGCAGGGTGGCCCCGCAGCGCCGGCACTGGAAGCAGCCGCGGTGGAAGAAGCGTCCCTCGGCGCTGGCCCGCTCCACGATGTAGACACGGCGCCCGCAGAAGTAGCAGGCGTCACTGTTCTCCCCTGCCCTCTCCCTGGGTGGCTGAGGGGGGAGAGGACGGGCAGGGCTGGCACCGGGGGCCTGGCACCCACCCTGCCCCGTGGCTGTGCCGGCAGCCATGGGGGCACGGGGCAGGGCTTTGCCCCTCTCGCCGCGCTGGGTCCGCTCGGGATGGGTGAGGCAGCGGCAAGGCTCCGGAAAACCAGTCGGGTCAGGAAACAGGCAGGGAGGAGCTGGGAACATGTGGGCGTTCGCTTGTGCAGCCCTGCTCCCAGCCCTTGGCTTGGCCCTGCCAGCCACTGGTGCCCTCCCAGGTGCCCCCCTGCCCTGAGCTGGACCCTCCATCCCAAGGTGACGCAAGGACCAACCTGCCCTGGGTCCATCACGGTGGCTTGTGGCGGCTTGTGGGCACTGTCCTGAGTGTCTCCATCCAGCCCCGTGTCCAGCTACAAGTGACCCGAGGGGAGGGTCAGCCCCCCACTCTCCCCCCGGGACAGCTGCACCCCAGCAGAGCCTCCCTTGGGGCACCTGGGGCAGGCCCACCTCAGTGTCCCTGCGGCTCCTCTTGACCTCACTGTCCTTCTGGGCACCGTCCTGCAAATCCAAACGGGGTGGGAAGGGTGGGGAGTGTGACGGGGTTTTGGTGTGCCGTGAGGGTGTGGGTGGGGGTCCTCACCTGGCTACGTTTGTGTGCCAGGGTCCGGCTCTTCTGCAGCTTGCTGAGGAAGAGGAGGGCCCCTCGTGTGCCTCGGGGAGACAGTGGCTTCTTGCTGACCTCCACCTCTGCACAGGACATAGCCATTTTGGTGGCACCCACCCAACAAAGAGGAGAGCACCCAGCCAGCCCCAGTGCAGCTCAGGGTGGGACATGTCCCCCAAAATCTCACACCTGGAGAGGTCCCAAAAATTTGATAGAAGTGGCTGAGGTAGGTGATGAGGCCCAGGCGGTCAGGCTCTGTCATGGTGGCCATCTCAACACTGGAGAGGACAGGCTGGATGCCCAGCTCCTGCTCTGCTATGTCCAGCAACATCTGGTGGGTCCGAATGGCATCCTGGGGCTCCACAGAGTCAAAGTCCCTGTGGGGAGATGTGGCTGCCATCAGGGTGGGCTCTGCAGGGTGGAGGGTTTGGGGGCTCCCAGGCACTCACACCAGGTCGGGGCGGAAGCGGTGGATGAGGGCGCAGAGGGCCAAGCCACTGGTCCAGGAGGTGCTGAAGTTGGTCACGGCCACGCCAGGGTATCCAGCTGTGCTGGCCTGGCACCAGCTCAGCAGCTCTTCAGAGACAGCTCCAGGGGCCACTGGGGAGGCACAGAGAGGGGACACAACCCCCCAGTCCACCTCCTGCCTCAGACTCCCTGCTTTAACAGGGCAGGGATCCCATGGGAGCAAGCTGAGACACCCCCTGGCCCCCGCAACCCTCCCCACAAGTCTCAATAACTATGCTGAGGAACCATCTGTCCAATATTTCATGGCTCAGCATCAGTGCAGCCTGGAGGGGCACAGCCTCCACCCCAGAAGGCAGCAGGGGCCTGTGTCCCCAAATGGGCCACAAGCAGAGGGGACAGAAACCACTGGTGCCACCAGGACAGCCTGCTGGACACAGGCCAGGGTTCAAGAAACGAGGATGGGGAGGAGAACCAGGGCAGGAGTTACTTGGGCATGGGCTGCTGGAAGGAATGGGGCAGGCGTGGTCGCTCCTACCGGTGCTGAGCCGGTTCTCGCTCTTCCTCTTGTGGTCCACCTCCACCATGCCCACGAGGTAGAGGTCCCTGACCTGCCAATGGGGACATGTCAGTGGTGGGTCACCGCCTGTACAGAGCCAATGGCACCACGCAGGGAGGTGGCCCTGGCAAGGGGGACACTTGGACACCCCC